TGCCTTCTGGAGTCCCAGCCTCTGGATCCAGGAGTCTGTGTGTCATGCCTCCCAGATGGTAGCTGCAGTCTAGCAGGGGCCTTCAAAGCCTTCTGGTGGCAGGCCAGTGTGGGAAGATATTTTAGGGAAGGACAAATTTTCAAATGCTCTTAAGAGACTGGATAGAAAGGGTACTGGATTAGGAGTAGAGACAGGGTTCCGGCCTGGCTTGGCTTCTAACTCGATGTGTGGCTTTAGGCTTCATCTTCTTCAGCTGCAGAATGATGGAATTAGGCAAGAACAAAGGCTTTCCGGGGAGCCCTTTGGAGTCACCTTGCCCATGGCCTTGGAACCATAAGGGGAGAAGCGATGGCATCTGGGGCCCTGCTTCCCTTCACTCAGGGCAGCCCCTTGTAGGTATTTAATACAATGAGCACCCTGGAAAGATCTTTGTCTCAGCCCAGGTCTCCAAAGAAGCAGAGCAGGCCACAGTGTATGCTAACACTGTGTGGGGGTGTGCAGTGTCTGGGGAGGGGAAGTGGGGACAAAGGGGAGTGAGACAGAGGGCGAGGGAGGGCACGCAGGAGATGCACTGCTGAGCTGTCCACCGCTCCATCCGGATGGATGCTAGACCGTACAGGACCTCCTTTATTTATTAATTTATTTATTTTGAGATGGAGTCTTGCTCAGTTGCCAGGCTGGAGTGCAGTGGCGTGATCTTGGCTCACTGCAACCTCTGCCTCCTAGGTTCATGCAATTTCTCCTGCCTCAGTCTTCCAAGTAGCTGGGATTACAGGCACACCCACCACACCCAGCTAGTTTTTGTATTTTTAGCAGAGACAGGGTTTCACCATGTTGGTCAGGCTGGTCTCAAACTTCTGACCTCAAATGGTCCACCCACCTCGGGCTCCTAACATGCTGGGATTACAGGTGTGGGCCACCGCGCCTGGCTCGGGACCTTCTTTAAAGTGGTTGTGTGAACTCAGAACTTAGGTCAGTCTGTCCAGAAAGAGGAAGAGAGAAAAATTTGTTTGCCAATCCCTGTCTCTTGCTGGTCAAAGTTCACTCCATGGAGAGTCCAACACTCGTGCACTTCTGAGGCCAAGGGTGTGGGGCCAAGGGGTGAGGAGGTGCAGTTGACTTGTGCCTGGGTGAAGTCAGTTGTCACAGCAGGCAGATAAAACAAGTGGCAAGGACCTGGAAGCCTGGTGTGTCTAACAGATCTTAGGCGGCACATTTAAAAGTGTCTGATACAGCTACAATTGAAAAGCAGTGGGACCCTCTACTAAAAGAAGTCAAAACCACTGAGTTGCATAATACCAAAGGACCTTCTCAGCTGAGAGATTTCTTGATGCTGGTCATCACTGAAATTGCAGCTCGGAGAGCTGAGACTAGATTCCCTTCTGATGTGCAGGGCCCATGTTCTCAGACAATCACAAACAAGATCCTGAAAATGTGTACCCCTCAGCTTTAGTCTATCCTCCTCACCCAAATTTCCAAGCAACTTCAGAGTTAATGAAGATGGTGTTGGGTTTTTTTTTTTTTTTTTTTTTGAGAGGGGGTCACTTTTGTTGCCTAGGCTGGAGTGCAATGGCATGATCTCGGCTCACTGCAACCTCCGCCTCCTAGGTTCAAGCAAATCTCCTGCCTCAGCCTCCCGAGTAGCTGGGATTGCAGGCATGTGGCACCACACCTGGCTGATTTTGTATTTTTAGTAGAAATGGGGTTTCTCCATGTTGGTCGGGCTGGTCTCGAACTCCTGACCTCAGGTGATCCACCTGCCTCAGCCTCCCAAAGTGCTGGGATTACAGGCATGAGCCACCGTGCCTGGCCACGAAGATGGTGTTTTTAAAGTGTCCTACTGGGATGGGAAAGAGAGGGGGCTGATAATCCCACCAGACAGGGAGAATTCTCATCTTGTTCTTTCAGAAAGGCCTGGCCGCCTGCCAGGTTGCACTCCCCTCCGCTCAGGCGGCAGCAGTGGGCTCCAGACAGAAGACAGATGTGTTGGTATTTAAGGGATTGGAGGATTAAATAAGCTAGAGAGGCTCCCTCCATACAGCCTCATGCTCTGATGGCTGGAAGCCCACCTCTGAGTGTTATTAAATCGATGATGACATCATGGGCACTTCATGCCCCTCCCTCTGGAGCCCAGCAGGCTTGCAAAGCCTGCAGAGGATAAGAAATTGGGGTCAGGCCGGGCGCGGTGGCTCACGCCTGTAATCCCAGCACTGTGGGAGGCCGAGGCGGGTGGATCACGAGGTCAAGAGATCGAGACCATCCTGGTCAACATAGTGAAACCCCGTCTCTACTAAAAATACAAAAAATCAGCTGGGCATGGTGGCGCGTGCCTGTAATCCCAGCGACTCAGGAGGCTGGGGCAGGAGAATTGCCTGAACCCGGGAGGCGGAGGTTGCGGTGAGCCGAGATCGCGCCATTGCACTCCAGCCTGGGTAACAAGAGCGAAACTCCGTCTCAAAAAAAAAAAAAAAAAAAAAAAAAAAAACCAAGAAATTGGGGTCAGAGTGGGAAACCTCAATCCTTCTCTGATGTATACCAAGATTGATGTGTAGATCAGATTCAACAGAATTAAATCTGGGACCCAGTCTGAGTGCTGTCCTTAGCTGACCTTGGGCACACCACTCCAGCTCAGGGCCTAGGTATTCTCTGCTGCAAAACAGAGACATCACCTGCTCTCCTTATGACCTGGTGTGGGTCAAATGAGAGAAGAAAGCTTTAAAGCAAATGTGTCCTTCAGGGGACCAGGATGCGGATTGAGGTGTAGCCTGTGGGCTCCTAGAGCCCAGGATGGGGCTGATGGAAAATGACTCCCAGGCAGGCAGCCCCAGCCTCCCACAGCCAAGAAAGGACATGCACGTTCTGACCAAAGGGGAAAGAAATAAACCCAATAAAAATCTCCCAAGAAGAAAGACAGGAAAGAAAGTGGAATGGAAATAGGCATAGCTGAGACCCGGCATGGTCTGGGAAGCAGACCAAGGATACAGGGCAGGGGAACGAATGGCACATTGCATTTGCATCTGAGGCTCAGCCCTTCCATGAGGCACATTGCTTCTGCAGCGGCTTGAGGGCTGGCTGAGAGGAGGCAGGTCTGGAGGCCTGCACGTGTAGTGTGGCGTGGTGTAGCACGGGATTGTGGGGGAAGTTGGGGGGTGATTGCAGTTGTTCTAGTGAGCGGCCTGGGCTGCTGACAGTGATTGTGGAAAGGAGAGAGTTTGTGACATCGAGAGTGGTGTGAGAGGTAACATTTCTGTGGAGGGAAATCTCAGGTCCCAAGAGGGACTATTCTAAATAGGCCACCAGTGCAGGGCTCTCTGCTAAGGGTTTTGTGAGCATTAATTCATTTAGTCATCACAGCCCCGGTGTGGTAGACGCAATAGGCATCTTCTGGTTACTGATGAGTAAACTGAGGCTGAAAGGGGTTGAGCCATTTGCCTGCATCACAGCTAGTTCAAAGTGGCACCACTAATGAAGCCCTGGCAATCTGCCCTGCAGGCTGTTCTCAGGTTTGACCCTTGGTTCTGTTTTTCACTTGGGGACACTGTCCCCTTAGGTTGTCTTCATGTATGTTCCCTTGACTCACAAGCCTGTCCACTGGGCTCCCAGGTCTCACCTGAGCTTCAGACCACGGGTCTAACAACCTTCCCGATCAAACTCAAGCTTAATGCGTCCAAGGGTGAATCTTTATTTACGCAAAATCTGCTCCAACCCACTTCCCCGGGGGATGCCTCCACTATCTACCCAGGGGCAGAACCCGGCCACTGCATCAACTCTTCTCCCCTCAACCCCCACATCCAGGGACCCAGTCACCGTACCTCCCACACGACTCTAGATGTCACACACTCGCTCTTTCCCACTGTCACCGCCAGCAACCCAGGCCCCTCACTGGAACATCCGCAACCCACCGGCTGCACCACGCGGGCGCTACACGTGCAGGTATCCAGTCCAGCCGCCTCGCCTCCACCCCCAAGAACAAGGGAAATCCCACATTGCCTTGTGCCCGGGGGGCGCATTTGAGTCAGCTTAGTCTGTCTCCAGGTCCCTGCCCCGCCCCAGCCCAACACCCCGGCCTCAGTCAGCCTAGGCAGAGATTCCCGTCCCTAGGCAGGCAGAGAACCCCAATACATCCCAGCCCGCTGGTGGTCACGCGCGCAGCCCTGGCCGGTCAGCAGCCCCGCCCCCCGAGGAGGCCACACCCGCAGCCCCGGCCCTCCTCTGGCGGAGTCCACCCCGCCTCCCGCAGCCCCGCCCCACCCCCCGCAGCCCCGCCCCCTCCTCCCTGGGGCCGCGCTCTCCCTC